CATAAGTTTACTCTCTTTTGGCCCACTAGAATTTTGCCACGATTTAGACCACAATATATGCTACAACATCGCACAAACTTTAAATCTTAAACACGAATTAGAAAAATTCCTGGCAATTTTCGCAAACTAGTGAAACTTGAGAATTTTTGGGGTTTCGAGCCAAAAGCCAAAATGAAACCTTCGGCATTCTGGATCATGCGCAATTATCCGGAATCGTACGAATTACTGCCATTCGGCTTCACAGTAAAAAAGTAAAATTTAATAGCATGTCGAGATTTAGCATAATCACAAATTCGAACGAGTCTGCTGCATTCAAAACTGCTGGGGACAATCGTCAATGACCACGTAGTGAACTTCAAAATTCGCCGAGACTACACATAGCAAGGTTATTTGACCTGCCAAATACGAATATCGTATTCATTTGTTAAATTAATGCCTCTTTCTTTAAAGGCAGCGGCTCGGCAGAATAGGCCTACCTCGGAATTTGACATAGATGGATAGGATGCCCTCCAAGTGAACCAACTCCGGGCCGAAAATGTGAATTCTGAAAACCAGGGGGGCGAGCCAAGCTCCGCTCCCCCTCCTCCTTTCGCTCCCCTAACACCTTCTGCGGACGAATATGTTCGCCGCTAGAAAACGTGCCGTCACTCGTAACTTCGTAGGGCAGAACTGTTCTAGCGTTCTCTACCTCCTTACTCTGCGTCTCTGACGGCAGAGAAAAATGGCTCACTTGTCCGCGCCCGTCTCAGGGGGTTTTGAGAGACGGGGTTTTCCCTATTTTTCGCGCTAAGGGGAGTTTATATCATGATTCAGGGGGCGGAATAGCCTGCCAGAACCCCAAAGTCGAAAATCTGCCGAGCCGCTGCCTTTAAGGTGAGATCCTACGTGAACCTAAAGTAATCTTACAAAAAGCCCTTGTCGCGCAACTTCAATATCGTCTTCGTGATCAGCATGTCGGACCCCCTCCCCCATGCCAAGCTTCAGCCGAATCTGTCAAATTTTATAATTTTTTCCCTTATACCGTATACCTATCGTAACCCTGCGACTTGTCATAACTTATACAATGGCATAATTTGAGTGTGCCATGTCGAGAGAGAGGGAAGTTACTGAATGAGCTGCAATTGGTTTCCAGCTTAATAAAATACTAAAGTTTGGTTTTTGCTTACTTGAACAACTGGCTCAAAGCCGCGCACAAATCTAAAAGAAAACCTTTTTTGGAGGCAATGCGAGCGAGCTGTTTCATTCTACATAGCTCGCCGCAGGGTCAGATACGTCGCGAAGAACGTTCCTGGATATACTATATTTGTTGAAACGCGAAAGGTTGATATACATATGCGATATGTTGCCGAAAGGGGTGCTACCATGCGGACTTTTGCAATAGACTTCGCAGCCATGCATACGGTCTGTCTCAATCGGGGTTAGGCCGAAGCATTGGCTTGATTTTGCTCGCAGCGCTAAGGGTTTGCGCTGCATATGCGCATTGTTGGAGAGAACGAGGAGATTGAAGAGAGAGCTGCGTGACGCTAAACTAAAGCGAACTTCCGCCATGCCAATTTTGGCCTCTTTGGGATTAGAACAAACTGTATGACAAACATCACAGATTTCTGCTAGCTGGCGGGGATGGAGCTAGCGACGACACATATCTCTTCCCGTGGAGGGAGGTATGGGTAAGTCGTCCAACCCGACCTCCGCTACGCCAACTACCCTAATTTCACGCTGTAAAACGCACCTTTTTCGGTTTTTCAAGCGTGCCGCTCAGCGCCTCATTGTGTTTCGGAAAACGGACTTATGCCGCACGATACTTTCAGGCAATATGTAGCACTCAGTGGCGTACCCAGGATTTCGGCTCGGGGGGGGGGGGGCGCGGCAAAAAAATTTTCAAATGAAGGTGCGTGGCGATAGCCACGCACTCCGAAAACTTTTTAGGGGTGCTTCTCAACAATTTTGCGGGCCCCCAACCCCTAAAATCTGGAAAAAGGGGGCGTGGCGTCAGTCACGCCCCCGAAAAAAATTTTTTTATAAGGCTAATTTGAATTTTTAAAAATTTTTAAAAATTATTTTAATTGTTTACAAAAATAAACAAGTCATTTGCACATTTTTATAACTCATGTAAGTAACTTTCAAGAAATTCGCGACCCGTTCTCGGGGGGCGCGCGCCCCCCCCCCCCCCGCCCCCCCCCCCTCGGTACGCCACTGGTAGCACTGTATATAGTTTTTGGGCCGCGAAGACCTTCGGCGTGTCTGTGCTGTTTAAATTTGAGAAAAAAAACTACCCTGCGTTCTATAGCGTGAAATTAGGGTACTTTAAGTGCAGTTTTCTTAAAATAGGAAAATACAACCTTTAAAATTGTTACCACACAACAGTAGATCGAGATAGGAAGTTCGAAGTAGCAATATGATATTAGTGCCAGATGAGCGGAAGTTCCTTACAAATATCACGACGGATGAATATGCGCTTCACAACATTAATGACACTGACACGTGCTCTTACAACTCGCGCATACAGATAAGATCATACGTAGTGTGTGATGCTTAGAAAACTAATCAGTAGCAGTGACATTCATTAGAAAGTTGCGTAATGTTAATTATCTAGCCAAAGTGCGAGAGCGTCACATCTATCGGCAGTACCTGCTGCTGCTCGTGGTGTAGCAACAAGTGCCCACCGCTACACGCGGAGCGAGCTGCTCTGATAACGCAACCTAAAGTATGCTCACCGCTGTTTTGCACGCTGAATAGTAAGACATCACCTCCTTTACTATTCTTTATCTAACCGATAAGATAACTGCATTTATTTAGCACCAGTGCGTCACCTCTGCTTCGCAGAGGCTCGCACTGGCTCTACTAAGCCCTTACTTATTCTCGCATAATGATGGTATTGGAACTTACCAAGCAATGCCGACTATCACAAACAAAATGTAAACAACTACTCATTCCGAAAGCTTTTTTCCGCGAAATCGGTGATTTCGCGTGGATGAGACTTTTTGCAGGAAAACAAACGGAAATTTTTGTAGGTTTTTGATTTTCTCATGGTCTTGATAGTTGCAATAAGAACAGCAGCCCCCCGAGCTGCATCTTTGTGCAAAAATCTTGTCAAATGCTCTGATAAAACCTTGGCAAATTGACCATTTACGCAACCGATACTTTTTGGCTCCGTTTTTGTAAAGTAATGAACTTTTGATCACTTTTTTTGGGCCTAAGCTCATGGCTTACACATTTACTTGGCGCAAACATTCACGACTCTGCAAAAAGTGGAATTACGGATCCAATTTTGCGGCCCAAATGCAAAGTGGATCCGTTTGACGCGCAGTTTCTGAGGGATCCATTCAACTAATTTGCTCGTGCTTTTGCATGTTGGACTTTCATGCGGGTAACAAGCGCTGTGCAAAATTTGAGCCCAGGAGGTTGGCTGGAATCTGCTCTACGAATTTCGTAACAGACACACTCACACACACACACACACACACACACACACACACACACACACACACACACACACACACACACACACACACACACACACACACACACACACACACACACACACACACACACACACACACACACACACACACACACACACACACACACACACACACACACACACACACACACACACACACACACACACACACACACACACACACACACACACACACACACACACACACACGCACACACACACACACACACACACACACACACACACACACACACACACACACACACACACACACACACACACACACACACACACACACACACACACACACACACACACACACACACACACACACACACACACACACACACACACACACACACACACACACACACACACACACACACACACACACACACACACACACACACACACACACACACACACACACACACACACACACACACACACACACACACACACACACACACACACACACACACGTAAACACCCTTAGCCCGTTATTATAAGTTATGATTATATTAGAGGTAAAGCGCCTGCCTTGTGTGAAAGAAGTAGCTGTAAGCGAAAGTCACATTTCGTCGGTCGATTGACCACGGATTGTCTGCAATTCGAGTCGAACTTAATGAGGGTTTTCGCTCCTTCCACTTGAAATACAAGGGACCTCAGTAAAGTACAATGCAACAGAATCCATAATAATGTTGGAGAGGTTAATTATCATTGCCGAGATTGCTGCATTTGCTATCTTTCAAGTCTAATGAGCAAACAAAACTGTTTAACATAAACACTTTTTTAAAACCAAAATTTTGTCAGTGCATCTATAATCATACTTCATCGTGACAAGAATCTGAACGTTTGGAGAATTGAAAAGGAGTGCAGAGATGGCAAATTCAGTTTTCCCAGCGATCAAAGTATTACAATTTTGAAATGCAGTTAAAAGCCACATTTGCATCCCCATCGCTGAGTGTGGAAAACAATAGCTTTATTTACATTCCTCATGCTCTTCGCCTCCTTCTCTTTACATCTTCCATTCATGTTGCTTCAAGTACGATTCAAAGCTTTTCAGCGACATCAATATGGATGAGTGCTTTGACTTGGAGTAGCATGAAGTCTCCGTAACTATTCAACAGAACTTTCGCCTCTTTGCCTCAAACTTGCACTATGTTTGTCTTGCAGATATCAAATTAAATGTTATGAAATGTCTCATTTTGTCAGCTTAGACGTTATGATTGATCTGTTATGGCTATAAATACAGAACATGCATATTGACAGTGCCACCAGATGCTACCAATCGTACTTCTAGCACTCCTTGTAACTTTGGAAGTAAAGTTTTTGAGCGGTCTAAGTTTCATGTTAATCCAAAATCGATTTGTTAGGCATGCCCTCCGGCACCAACCGGACAGCCGGCTACTATGACTTTCTATACAAATCAACCTTATGATCGGTCTCAAAACGAAGTATACGCCAACTTTGCAAAAACTCAGGCAAGTATTCTCCCTCTTTAAATATGCGTGACTGAAGAATTCCCCTCTCTTTGCTTCAACAAATGTTAAAGCGGTATAATATCGCTTACAGTGAAGGAATGTTCAATGTTATTCCCCAAAATGCAGGCGGTAAAGTAGCAGTGGTTGTGAAAGTACCAAAAGTCGACTGTAATTTGGTATGCTGTAAGCCTTTTTGCAAAATAGTTTTTTTTCATATATGTGTTTTTAGGTCCCAATAATGGCGAGAGAAGTGAAAAATTCAGTCTTTCTGATAACATCCGCAACGGCGCAATGTGGAAATGGTCCAACTACATATGTTTAGAGTTGAAGAGTTGCTGGTTGAAATCAACTGAATCCACTATAAAAGTGTGCGTGGACAAATACCAAAAAATAAACTCTGTAATATTCTCTGAACCTTTCTTCGCCGTAAAGCGCTACGGATGGGCACGAAAATAAACAAAGACGGAAGTGCTGGAGAGATAAGTTTTGAATGAAAGCAATCTCACTGCAAATCCCTTCCGTAATCAACTCAGTTCGCGAATCAGACCGTTTTGCAATCAGCGCCATACAGTTTTCGAAAAATTTCTGGCCTCAGGTACTTCGAATGCAAATTTTGGGGCGCTATTCGTTTTACTGTGTTCCATAAACAGGGACCACTTTATCAACAAGAATGATTTTTTTGCTAAAGATTCCGCTAAAAGTTTCACTTTTATCGTTCCCTGAGTAAACAGAAATTTGCGTTCTCGTTTCACTTTGATTTTTCATAGCCGAAACGGAATTAGTTTCCCGTTGTTTCTACTACCGATTATACTAAAACAGTCAGAATTCAATGTGGCCATTTCAAACAAGCTGCATACCATTTGATACAAAATAAAACGAGGACTTGAAAACTGCCTTCCATATCTGCTAAACCCCTCTGCGGGCGAAGTTATGAGCAAATTTGCTAAGAAAAATCGTGCATGAATGCGCAGTTGATCACATTGTTGCCCTTTTAGCTCACCTTCAGGTATAAACTACTAAATTAACCTAGCTGCATGTTTCGATCCAGCATGGCTCTGCACAGTTTATTTCACGCTCTAAACGCACGAATTCTTAGCAGAATAATGTTTTCTATCTTATATATAAAGCTGAACGTCTGTTTGTATGTCTGTCTGTATGTACGTATGTTCCGAATAGAAAATTCCATTTCTGAACCGATCGGGACCAAACTTGGCACACATACACTACGGGCCCCAGCGGGTGTCATAGGCTACTTTCCGTCATCGATCGATATCGATCTTATCGATTTTTTGCAAAGTTTGAGCTACGGGGCTGGAATTTGGCAGAGGGGTGTAATCGAGCATGCTGATCACCCCCACGGGGGTGATCAGCAACCGCGAGATGCACTCGGAGAGATTATTGGACAGCTTCATACTGAAGTGGAGTCGCTTTGAGAAAAGAGCATCAATTCTGTTTCTGCCTAGTTTGTAAAGACAAATGATTACTATATTTTTTTTCATAAACTATATGGATTAGATGCTGGTTACCAGCGTCTTTCACAACTCAATTTTGATATTTCACAGTGTTTTTCCTTTCAGCTGTAACCTAAAAATGATTTTTGCTTTTTCAAACAGCTAATGAATCCGCTGATTCGAATACGTAAGCATACACTGTTCAATTTTCTCTCCTGCCCCAATGTCTATCACTCTTTTCAAGGTAGCTGCTGGAGGGGATGGGATCAGCTTAGAATTACGATGTGCAGAAAACTTCTGACTGCTTTGTTATCGTGATTAACGTTATTGTGACAACGGGAACCTTAAGTGGACTTTACGCAGTTAACCTGTGAATTTCGCCTCACTGAAGATAACAAAAATTTTGAAACTAGCACTTCTGAGCAACTCCGACAGTTTTCAAAATTTTGGTGACATTCCTTACAATACTTATGGAGCCTTTTGTTGGAATTGCTGGGTCTAAGACCCCTTTTGCATAATCTTCAGGTCGCTTTGAAGCTTTTCTGATAAACCTCACGATAACACTGACCTCTGGAGCTTCAAATGATAATTTTGTAAGCAGGGTGGTTGGTGACTCACCCCCTTACCGCAAAGCTATATCGAAGCCTGCTTTTCAATATGGTACCTGAGGTATAGTGAGGACAACAGAGATTTCAACGGCCAAGTACTATATACCTGATTTTGGGGCACGCTTTACAGCGAGTCAAAAAACTCTAGTAACAGTGGCTGCAATGTTTCGAAAATTTGGTGTAAAGCTTATGTCTAATATAACTTTCTTACCATTATTGTGCGTTTTGTTTCTGGCTTTGATCCACAAAACATTTCACTCTTTGAAACTGTTCTACACCAACTCGTATGAAGAGTGTGTAACGTAACTAACTCAAGATTGCGCTTGAAACAAGATTTTTGACACCGGCGGCAACAAACCGGGAGAGTTCATGACCGATATGATGCACAAGATCTGAGAAAGTAGGCGATTTTTGCTATGCGTTTTATAAGTTCAGTAAGCTCTTCTGCAAGGCAGTGTTTACCAAGATTTGGCTGCCAAGATTTTTGCATTTCGCAAGCCTTTCGACCCTGTTTTTTAGCACTATAGGAACGTGAGATTGCATGAATATTTCAAAGTCACCGTTTTCTGAAGGCCCCGCATAAGCAATGCGGACGACTTCTGCCTTCACTTTTACTCCGCCACGGTGGCAGAAACGGGTGTAGTGCGGAGGACGACAATATCTAAATCTTGTGCCTTTCAAAACTCTTCGGTGCTAAAGTGACACGGCGTAAAGTAGGGGGTGGGAAGTAGGGGCAGATAGTTGACTCGATGCCATAAGGTAAAAAGCAGCAAAGCGATTTTAAACTGCTTGCATTTTGCGCGCCTCTGGATCCACCTTCATACAATACCACTCTCATAACGTGCAAAATTTCTGTGAATGTCGCGAAATTCCGAAAATTCCGCGAAATTTCCGGAATTTCGCGAAATTCCGAAAATTCCGCGAAATTTCCGGAATTTCGCGAAATTCCGGAAAGTTCGCGAGAATTTCGGAATTTCGCGACATTCACGGAAATTTTGCACGTTATGAGAGTGGTATTGTAATTGACAGCCGAGGTGCGAGATTTGCTAATTACGGTGCGAGAGTGACCGCATATCACCGCGACTAGCGCTGATGGGCAAATGCTATAAAGTCATTTATATGCAACTTTGTGAGCTCTTTCTTTCTATGATAAAAGCGGGAGGAAATTTTTCGGTCGGAAAACTTTATGATAGATCAAAATGAAATGATAATTCCAGGAGAATAATCAAGACGCTGGCATAGCAATATTTCGATACAACTTTTGATGCGCTATCAGCTGATGAAGAAAGTTGGACAGCAGCATGAATGTGAAGGGGCGCTGCCCTATAGTATCTGGAGATAGTTTTTCTTAATTTGATCTTTGATCTCTATATATAAATCGGTCAGAAGTGGTTCATTGGTGGTTAGTGGCGGGTTAGTGGCCCAGGCATGGATGGGTTGGAATGGGAAGGTGGGGAAGAAGTGGGTGGAGACTTGGGTGTGGGCGGGGCCAAAAGTGGGCGGAGCTAGCAAATTCCGAAAAAATCCACATTTCTCTAAAATCTATCCACCGTAGTCCTACAGAAAGAAGCTATCTCGCTAATCAGATGTGTTTTTTGTAATCAATGGGACGGATAACATCTATGGTTTGATTTTCTAAGGAACTAGTAGCACTTGATATTTTCTCGCTCCTCACTGTTGGCCTCGGCGCAAGATTTGGTTCAAAATATTGAGGTTCTCGGATTGACCGGAAACTTCGCTCATAGTGGTTTTTGGTCCCGATCCTTACGAAAATCCTATTTATTTTGCACTAGAGAGTCTTAAAGTAAAGCTGAAGTGGGATAGAAGTGGCTCAACTCACCAAAATCGCAAATTCGCCTGCACTTTTTGCCTATCTATTGCGGAAATTGTCTGCATATTTTTGTGAATTTAAAACTATGTGAAGACCTCTACCGGACCATGCTTAGCGCAGATCTTTATCTGCATTTTTCGTCAGATTATGATGTTACAAAACCGCCTTCTCATGCATTGTCTTTCAAATTCGAAAGTCGTGTAATTTGGCAGATATTCCTATCCTACAATGTGCAACCTGCAATAAAACAATATAAGAAATGTTGTTAACACGTCGAGTAATACATGTAAGCGGATATTATAAGATTTGCTTCATACATGCATTCGAACATATGACATTGTCATAACTGTGGAAAAGCTTATAGATCACTTCAGCACGAAGGTTCGAGAGAAAAAATTCACAAGCCGTTTCTAATGTTCACCTGCTAGCAGCAGATGAGAAAATTACTGTTTTATCATTTTATCAGCCAGATACAATACCACTCTCATAACGTGCAAAATTTCCGTGAATGTCGCGAAATTCCGAAAATTCCGCGAAATTTCCGGAATTTCGCGAAATTCCGGAAAGTTCGCGGAAATTTCGGAATTTTGCGACATTCACGGAAATTTTGCACGTTATGAGAGTGGTATTGTGTTGTTTCTGCCTGCCCCTCGGCAGAAACACTATGAAGGTGGTTGCCAAGTAGTGGGACCTGTTAAGACGCGTAAGGGGGAAAATCAAGGGAGTTACCGTGCAGACCAAAGTGCTCTCTGCGAGCCACTTTGAGCGGTTTTTCCTCAGTTAGAGGGATGAAATCAATTTGAACTTGTTGCAGATGTATACGGAACCCTCTAGTAAAATTTATGTAGATCCGTGTAATCTCATTTCTGGTGAGACACTTCCTTGAAGGCAGCGTCCCGGCAGAAAGATGGGTGCCGGGTTTTTGTGGCGATGTTAAAGTAGATCCCCTACCTAAGCGTCCGGAGTGAATGAGGGGGTCTACCAAGCCTGAAATTTACTCCAAAAGTGGTCCGAATCTTACGGTAGGCCTGGACGCCGCCCACAGCCATATCGATTTGCAAGGCCAGAGTGTGTATGGCGAACAAGAGGAGATGAAGCTGCATATGCAGCTTCAACAGGAACAAATGCAAGCGCGACTACAAGCCCAGCAGGAACAAATGCAGACGCAGCAGCAAGCTCAGCAAGAGCAAATGAGGACGCTGATCTCCACCCTGGTCAGTAATCAGGAGCCGTCCAAGACACCAGCAAGGATCAGTACGATCAGCTGAGTAAGGATGGCAAAGATTCGTTTTAGACGAGGAGAGGAGACAGGTAACACCTTTGCGTACTGGTATGGCAGGTATGGACCGGTCACTCGCGACTCCCAGCTTCCGGGTCAGAAGAAGCGCGACTTGATCTTGATGAAGCTGGATGAAGAAGAATACCTGAAGAATGCAGATGAGGTCTTGCCTGCGCTACCAACCGATTTGGACTTCGACACTACCGTCGCGAA